GGCTGTCAGGGATAAACAAAGAAAACATACAACTGAAGTATTTGATCAGCATTCTCTACAGAAAGAGAGAAGAGCACTAGCTCAAAAATTCTCAAGTTCATGATGGCAAAAACCCACCCTCAGTCAACATGCTTCTCCATAGACCATGTGTCTTCCAAGAGAAAAGGAGATGCAGAGGCGTAATATGTAAGTTACCCAGAACAGAATTATACTTGTAATCTATACTAACCCTTTGAATGCAACATATAAAATGTTGTCTGTCCCCATCAACATGGTATTTTCGCAAAGATGCTTCTTGGGAGTAGTTTACACACAAAATTATCATGAAAGCATAGTCAAGTGATCCAGTAATTCTGTGTTAAAATGGATCACCCTCAGCTGTACATAAGCATTCTAGCATAGAAGCTTTCCACATGTTATGAAATATTTGTAGCTAGCCATGTATCTCATCTCATTCCATAAGAAGCACTGTTGAAGAATCTTCTATCTTGCCTCTTATACCTCTGTTTAGAGACCTACCATGGAGATCTCATTCTACTTACTTATGCATTTTACCAATAAGTGGGTGATTTGAACAGCGTTACCAGTGCACAGGAAACACCAAGATGAAAACCAAAATACAAATTTAAAATTAGTCACTAATTCACTATGTACTGACCTCTTTGGCTAGGAGACTGCATAATAATTTGTACCACTTTTCGCAGACAGAGCAGCTTCTGTTGAGGGGAAGTACATTTGTTCAGCTGAGCCAGTTCTCGTTTTGCCCGTGGTATATTAAAGCTAGGAAATAATTTTTGATAAAGGTTAGGCTACATCAGATGGGTCTTGCACAGGATGTGCAAAACTCAACATTTAACTGACTCATTACTGAATAAGAAATGGTTTTAAGATATCTCTTCCACCTCCATCCAAGCATACTTGCATTTCTGTAGCCTGTAGATAAAGAAAGGAAAAAGGCATAACACCACCAAAGCCAAGATTAAGGTCAGTACAACCACCCTGAAGTGACACTTGCCAAGCTTCATTTTTTCTGTCTCAAAGAAGTGAAAAGCATAAAAGAAAACTTGATATCTGTTAGGAAGCTACTTTGTCTATAATGAGTTCTATTTAAAACAGTCTCTTGAAGATTTCAAGTCCACACTGTTTCATCTCTCACCTGAACTCAGGCTTTACTCCAATGTCTTTTTGCTGGAGATCTTGAAGGCTCCTCGTGATTTTGTTAAAAGCAGCATCCTAACCAACAGAAAGGCAGCACTTTTTAAAAATATGCGTTAGCATAACTAATCTGTATCAATCAACTAACCGATTTAACTTCACTTACCTCACTTGCTTCAATAGTCCCCACATATTTAAAAATTAAATCATAAATAGCATGGTGAACATACATCTGTGGAAAAAGAGTGGTAGCTTAGCCATGGAAAGGAGTTAAAAATAGCTCACTAAGTTTTTTCAGTTTCAGACGCTTACTTCTACTGCTTGTTTAATCAGATTCATCTGCTCTTCTTGCTTTGCAAGCACCTTCTAAAAAAA